TTAACACACAGGGGTGTAACTGGGAAAATGTAGGAAATGGGAGAGATTGTTGAAAACAACTGAAACCAGTGAAAACAAACCAAGATAAAGATGCCCACTAAGTGTCAGAGTATGAGTCTCAGCTTTGGCTTCTCTGTGCACTGTTCAGAAAGGTTCAAAACTACACTACATTTGTTGGTGTGATGTACTGGAGACCAAAGGCAGGGTGAAAACCCCAATATCTGGACCAGACTGTGTTAAATTTTAATTCCAGGAAGAGCTTTGAAGCTCTCATGCTTGCAACAGTAGCAACCTTTACAATATGAAAGTAATGTTGACATTCTGGCCTATATTGATGTGTTTTACTACGACATGGCTGAAGAAATTGATTTTTAGCTTCAAACTGATTTTTACATGCACTAGCCCTTTAAAAGCTCTGGCGAAGTCAGCTGTTCAGTGCAGAGATGTTTTAACAGTTAAAGCGCCTCTGCATGTGTTATCAGTTTAGCCATAATGAGCAAGAAGCCCAGTGGCAGAGTGACATAATTTATAGTTTAGTACTAACACATCGGGGTGGAACTGGAAAATAACAGGGAATCTTTAGAAATAAGTGAACCTTAAGAACGATTGAAAACAATGGAAATAATGATGGCTGCAGTTTTTTCCGAGAGCAGGGGATGATGATACACTGTAATTCACTCACATTAGAAACTCGAGCATGTTGAAGTAATTGCTTTTGACAAGAAGACAAACAGCGAGCGCAGTGTCTCATCATTGCTGAGTAGGGCAATAGAGGATGGACTGCCTCTTCAGAACTGGAGCCCGCAGTTTAGACTTCACAAAAGATTGTGGCTTTGATTCAGAAAAGGCACTGCTGTTGCCTGATTTATTTTTGAGTAACACCTTGTCACAAGAGGCGTGTTTTAGCCGATGATGTAAAAACTGGCATCAAACGCAATCACTTTCCAAACTGTTGCCTAATATCTTTAACATTGGTCTGTATTGTAGGTGTTATCTGATGATAACACCTAATGCGTGAGGTTAACATGAGCCAATATTACTGTATTTACATTGCCAGAGCAAAAATGAGTTATAATGAAAAGCAAAAGCTTAATAGTGTAATGGTATGTTAATATATGTGTGGGACCTTATTACATGATCAACTTACTAAATATTTTACCCATTCAGATTACTTTTTTTTTTTTTTCACAATTTGAGAGTGTTTAAAAATATTAGAAATTTGATAGTGGGGTATAATTTTCTGGTGAACACTGTAAGACAATGACATCATGTAATAATTCAAAGTAAACTCAATTTCCCCTCCAATTTATGGTACATTAATGATATTAATATTAATAGGCACATTAATGAGGACATTAAGAGTCGTGGTGCCTCCTCAACTCAACAAGGGTTTTTTTTTTTTATTAAAAGAAGTAAATCAGCTGGTTCCTCCTCCACAGCACTACCAATGGAGAAGTGGTAAACCGTTCATGCTGTTAAACTGAAAGCGAAAAGGCTTTGGGGAAGATTACATCATCACTGCCGTCACCACCATGACCACTGCTCTGACCAGCACCACCATCACCACCATCATCATCATCATAATCATCATCATCATCATCATCATCATCATCTCCCGAAGCTCAGCGCACTCGCATAATAACTCTGAGATTTTAAGCCCTGCTGGAAACATGACATCATTCTTTTTTTTTTTCCCCCCCTCTTTCTATAACTCTCCAGTGTATGACTGACAGAGCTGAAGAGCGGGGAAGTAGTTTTGTAAATGATGTGATGTGTTGGCGTCTTTGCAGGAATTGTCAGCTGCTTTGCTGTCTACATCTCACAGAAAAGGCCCTGTAGGAAAGTTGACATCATTCTCATGCTGCAGAACAATAACTGGCATCCCTAATCCTCTGACATAAAATTGACATATGTGTGGAAGAGGGGAAACGTATGACAACAATGGAAATCGTTGGCCCTTCTGCAGGAATCGTCAGCTGTTTGGCGTTCTGGAAATAAATGGAGGGGATTGAAGTGTTTTAGCAGAGCAACAGACTTGCCAGAGACATGGTCCATGAACTGTGACTGGGAGGGTTCAAACCTTCCTCATGAAATGCTGTCACACGTGTGATGCTCCAAGCGTATCCACACTGCGATGCCTAAAATCGTTTAATAACACTCTAGAGTGCGACTTCAGTCTGCCCTCTGGCTAAATGACATAATTCCCAGACAGTGGGAGCGCAGTGTAAAACTTGAAACTGATATAAAAATGAGGAAATGAAAAGTTAAAAAAAAAAAAGAAAAAAGAATATCCCACACACTGGCCTTGCTCAGCATCACAATTTATAGATCATCTTAATGTTTTGGTCTCAGTGACACTTTCCAACGCTCCTGCATTTAAGACGTGTATGCGCGAATATCTTCATCGAGAAATGAGACGGTTGAAAGTGTTTTCAATAACCACAATGGAGTGCTCAAGGTTAAAAACTTAAAACCCATCATGTTTAGATCTGAAAATAGAGCACTAAGCCAAAAGTGCTACAGGCAAAATGAATTAAATCCTTCTGGCTGGGTAAATGCTACCTGACTTAGAAAGCTGTGTGTAGAACTCTGGTGAATTAGCACCCTGAAAGTGACAGCCTGGTGGGAAATGATGACCACAGCGTGTGTGTGTGTGTGAATTTGTGGTAGATGATGTGCCACAGTAAAAAAATGCAAAATGCCACAAATGCCAGAGACACACTCATACACACACATATACACACATATACACATAGACACTCACACACACGCACACACACACGCACACACACACACACACACACACAGCTACAGCAATGGGGGTGTGCGTCCGCAGAGAGCTGACAGCTAGGTGATGTCATCCTGCTTAAATCGAGCTCTAGCAATATGCATCAGTTAATGCGCCAGACTGTAGTGTGTGTAAGAAGTGTGTACACAAAGTCATATATACAGTATAGAATGTACTGAACACGTGTCAGAGTGTGCGTGTGTTTGTGTGTATTTATCTTGCTCATGTGTCAGTGTTTGAGTCATCTTTACTCACTCACACACTGTATTAGGCTAATTGCTCGTTTCACTCTCTTCCTGAGAGCAGTTCCTCTAATGACCTTTCGATGCTGACTCTAAAAGAATTCTCATGGTACTGAAGGATTGCTGCTTCTGACTTGATAAAGGCACATCACATGGTCTCAGCAGCAATTTTTTTATCTTCTAATGTCAGTGTTGGTGGAGATTTGAAAAAAAAATATTACATACATACATACATATTTTATATTAGATATGACAGCTTAAAGAGAGTTGGGTTGGAAGCTTGATTGACAAGGAGTATCAGTGCATCACTCTTAGCTGAGCTGCTTTCTGCTTACTAGTCACTCCAATTAGGCCCCCACACAATTTCAGCAAATTTATTTCATGTTATTTACTCTACAAACACTTTGGGACTGGATCAGAGCTCGAAATATTGAGTTTGACTCATAGCTGTTAGCTTTATGAGTTGGCATGTTTGAGAAAGTGCCTGAATCTTGATCGACATGTCCTGATCATGAGGATGATGAGCTCCATACACGTCCCCGTCCATGTCCTTGGCATCATTTTTGTTCCTGATCTACTTTTTTTAATACATTTCTCCACAGTATACCATTACATTACACACGATACAATATCTGTCTCTGTGTATGTCAGGCACGTACAGTCCAGTGTGGCCGCATTTATATTCATTTGAATCAACATGTCACAAACGTACTGTGTGGTATTGTTTAACGGGGTCATCTGAGGTTGTCACATGATCAGGAAGAAGGATGAGTAACTCCTTTCATTGTTGGGACCACAAGATTTTGGTAACTCAATATAAGAGCCTGTGGGCATTAACAATCTGAATCACTGATATAAAATGAATCACAGAACAGAGAACCATAGTAATGAGAGCAGAGCTTGGCATACCAGTAGGATACAGAGCGCTCTGCGGTTGACTCAGCCCTCTAAGGGGTGATGGCATCACTGTCTGAATAATGAAAATCTGAAGCCCCCAAGTGCTCAGTATACCTTACACTCTCTCAGGCACAATGCAGCTTGGTCTCTGACTCACGTGAGTCATTCTGATGTCTATAGAGGAAACACTGTGTGTTGTGTTTAAATCAATGAGGAAGGGCGAATAACAGCTGAATCATTAGGGTTATACAAACCATGTGACTCATTTGCTTAAGTCCATAGAGCAGCTTCTGTATATCAGATCCTAAAGCATGATCTTACAGTCAGGTCTCATAGTGTGACAGTTTTGTAATTAGTCCGTAAATTAGTGTGTCCCTAAATAATGAGGGAGAATAAAGGATCCAGGATCCATGTGACCAAATGCAGCATGTGTTAGTGTAATAGCATGTCTGGTGCTTTGAGCTGTAGCTCTTTCATAGGGATGTGAGAGTATTTTATGACAAAGCCTTAGGCCACTGTCTTAAAGATGATGAAAATCCGATCATTAAGTGTTGACAAAAGGAGCTACCTTGACATCCATGGAGCAACATGGTTATTGGGAGAGTGTTTGAATCGGATGATGGATGTAAATCAAACTCCAGCATGTGACTGCAGGGCCTCTATCTGATTTGAAGGTCACCTGAAGCTCTCACCTTGGAGTCCCTCTTTGTGGGACACACACACACACACATACACACATCACACATACATACACACACACCACACACACACCCACACACACACACACACACACACACACACACACACACACACACACACACACACACACACACACACACACACACGTCTTCCTTCCTGTGGTATGACAGTGCATCCTTGTTTATCCAGTTATCATAAAAATACAATCAGCCACAAGTCAACACTGAATGACTCCAAACAAGCTGGATTATTGTTCTAATTAAGCTTTAATAAGCCCTTATTAAACGGCCGCAGGCCTCGTTAGGCGGTTCATTAAGTCATTTCATCCTTTTATTCCTTCATTAAGTCTCTTTTCTTCTCTCCTTTCTTCTCAGGGAGTGTGGGAGTGGTGAGGTCTGGGAGATCACGACCTTAATTCTCTCCAAGACAGACAGTTTAATTAACACTGGAGGAATCCTCCCTGGCTCTAGACCTCTACAATGGGAATGTTCAGGGGAATTGGATTGCCAAGGTAAGGCACTAAGCTAATGTGTTTTTTACTGGCAATATACACTAATAACCTTTTTAAATTACAGCTACTGAGCTCCGTATGTTTATGATGTAATTAGATGGTAATATTGGATGTATAAAAATACATACAAAAATTATGAATATACATGTGATTTAGCAGTGTTTTATAGAAATGCCTGATAATGAGCAATGCTGGTGTAATTTAATGTTAGCATATGTTTTTTTTTGTTTTTTTTTGCCAGACCACACGATAAGAAATGAGGAGCAAAGGAAATGTATAAATACTGTATATACTATAAACTATTAAATACAACTGACAGGACGGACATTCCAACACAGGGTTACCTCTGTCCGTATAGCCCCTTCATTATGCATACAACTTCGAGCAGTTTTCCCACAGTCGACACTGACATTTTAGATGCAACAGTTCTCTGAGAGTTCATAATGGTACTATCGGTTCATTTGTGTGCGGGGTGCTTACAGTTAGAAACGGGAAATGTTGACATAGAAATTTCATAAACCCACAAAAACCAGGTCTGAATGTGAAAGTAAAGAGGATGGAACATTTACCACAGTTTGAGAGCACCCTCAATTAGCTAACCAGCAAAACTTTCTGTATGTTTGACAGATAATCATTGACTGTTTTCACATGCAAAGTTAATGTTGAAAGTGGGAGACAAGTTTAAGCCTTATGCTGTTTTGGTGGCATTTTGTCAGTCTGCTTCATCAACTTTCCCCTCAATGTCTTGTCATCTTTAAACAGAACCTACATCAGTTTGAGGATGTAACATGGTGTAAAAATACATTTCAGGGGCTTGTGGAACACATGGTTGTCATGCATTTTGTGACAAATATTTACTGAAAAGTTGGATTTATTTGCTGCTCAAAAAGAATAACTGAAACTGGTAGACAGCATCAAGACCTTATGGGACCTGCTTTTTGTCCCCATAAGCAAGGCAAGTCTGCATGATGTAACTGTGTAAACAGATTTAGGTCCCCACAACATGAGTAATATATATACCTCACGCACACACACACCCACACACACATGCGCGCAATCAGACCCACACACCAAAAAAACTCTTTTTTTAAGATTACAAGTTGAAACACTAAAGTCTTCCCTTTGAGCAGTGCAATACAAAATGTTCACCCTAAAGCTCAAAAGCTAAAGATTACAGTTTGCAACACCTGCATGTTTTAGTGTCTTCTTCTACTGTGTGTGTGTGTGTGTGTGTGTGTGTGTGTGGGTGGGGGGGGGGGGGGGGGGGGGGGGGGGGGGGGGGGGGGATTTCCAGCTCTGTGTGGAATATTCAGAGGTGAACCTCACATGAACAGACCTTCTTCTCTTTTCATGTGCCAATAAACAGCACCTGAAAGACTGTTTGCAGTTAGCAGTGAGGAAAGTTATACCCCAGGGGATCTTAAGGGACAGATGTCTTGCAGCATAATACAGTTTCTTATTGCATAAAGATCAGTGTGAATTAAATGTTGCTGTATGAACATGGAGAGGTACAAAAGCAAGTGAATGCATAAACCAGAGATGTGGAGGTCTTAGCTATGCTGGTTGTCAGTGGGTGCAGGTGTGTATGTAGACAGACTGATAAAATACTGAAACAGTAAGACATGGAGACTGGGCAAAATTTAGCCATCTATTTTGACTGAAGATGGAGATGTGTGTGTGTGTGTGTGTGTGTGTGTGTGTGTGTGTGTGTGACAGAGTGAGAGAGAGAAATAAAAGATAATGCCTGTTAGTGTGTGTGTGTGTGTGTGTGTGTGTGTGTTCGCACATGAGCATGCGTTTGCATGTTTATTAGCTGTTTGGATCCCGCTGAGGTGACAGATGTTCATAACAGAGATGAGACACAGTGTCCAAATAATCCACTAGTGTGTGTGTGTGTGTGTGTGTGTGTGTGTGTGTGTGTGTGTGTGTGTGTGTGTGTGTGTGTGTGTGTGTGTGTGTGAGAGGGGGAGTAGTCTTCCCCATGGAAGTCAGAAAAGCTGTCCTTCACCTGTCTGTGCTATTTTCATGGCATTGTGTGTGTGTGTGTGTGTGTGTGTTGACATGATTTAGTGCAGGCAGGTAAGACTTCCACCTTCAGCCATGAAGTGATTGAGTTTCCTGAAGCTTGAGCAGATGTCCAAACCCCAGGATTCTCCCTCTGCCGCCTTCTATCTTCTCTTCCTGTCTTTGTTGTTTTGGATTTCTTACAGCTTCTATTTCACTTTTATATTCTTCCTGTTCTCCCTGTCTCACACTTTTGTCTCACAAACTGCTGCAGTGGATCATTTATTTCAATTGCCTTTTGGCCAGTTTGGAGAAGAACACACACACACACACACCCACGCACACACACACACACACACACACACACACACACACACACACACACCAACAAACACACCTACTGAACATGCATATACAGTACATTCATATACAGAAAGACACACCACAGACTGTTGATGTTGACTGAGTATGCAGATAAACATGCACCCACGCACAGTCACACAAGGAAGTGCTGGTTTGGACGTTATGCAAAATTTAAGCTCGTGTAAAGGAAGATACATGAAAAACACACACACGTACACGCAAACTGTTATATATCAAGTGATTAGTTACACAATTATAACCATGAGTTCCATCAAAAAGCAGAAGCTCTCGCTGTTTGTACCTTTGTGTAGGGAGAAATGAAACTTGTGAAACTCTAGAAAATGTGCAGTTGAAGCCAGATATGTGTTTAGATGTTTTACATTTTGTTGCCTCATTTGAAAAACACAACCAGAATGATCAGCACTATGTGTTTTGTATTGGTAAAAATCTGTAATTATTTCATGTTTGATTGGGGAAATGAACTCTTACAGCTGGTTTTTGATGTACTGAGTAAATGTTTGCTGCACTGACAAAAATGATAATTACTCAAAAAGAAAAAGAAAAATGACATCACATGATTATAGTGGGTACTTTGATATAATCCAATTAAGTGTAAACCTGGAAATTAGGGGGTGAAGCTTTGGCCAAATGCTGGACCCACATGATCCTGGTCTGAAACTTCATCTGCTGAGCAAGTCAAGCCTTAGCTGTGTGTTTTAATTGGCTGTAATTGTTGCTGTAGTCTACTCAATGAAAGCAATCAAAGGCAAGCAATTACAAGACCTTGGTCACCAGCCCTAGGGGCAGAACTTTAGACTGGGAAACATGCGTGTACATGTGCACACACAAATATACAAACTGACACACAGACACACACACTTGCATACAGGCAGTCACCCACACATTTCCTGTGTGTTTCATGTAAGACAGTCTTTTCTTCTTTTTCTTCAGTTTGGAGAGGAAGTGCGGGTCTAATGACTTTTCCTATGCGTCACAAACGCTACAGTACATGTGGGAGGCAGACAGAAGCACTGCACGTGTGTGCATGTGAGAACCTTTATGCATATATGTATGAGCTTGCGAAGGGCTCGACACATGCAGGTTTTGTTATGCATTTGTTAGAGGCTTCACGCGTATTTACGAGTTTGTGTTTTTGAGAAACGTCTCGACGTATTTGTGTTTGTGAGAGAAAGTTATGCATGTGTGTTTTTTTTTTTCACAGGAAATGTGCACACTTTGCTACTGTTTAGCACTTTTGGTGTGTTTCTGAAAAACAAGTTTGTCTCTGAGGAGTTTTACACATGTGCTTGTTTCACTTTGTGCATTTGATGTGACCATGTGCGCCTGTGAGGAACTTCTGTATGCACTTGTAATGAAGTGAGACCATACAGTTCTGTATGTGTGCACAGTTTGTTTTTGTTCAGTTCTTGTAAACACTGCTGCCTCTGAGACCTCACGCTGTTTGTAAAACTTACTGTTTTGCAGTTTTCTGTACTCGCACTTCTATATCGATCGTAATCAATATTTTATGTCTGAAGGGAATTAGTGTGTGCCAGGCTAAAATTTCAGCTATAATTTGTTGTAGTAATGTATCATATATTTATGACGGTTGCCGCCGATACTTCTCCTGGCTTTTGCAGCAGTATCCCATAGCATTATGTTTAAGCTTTGAAGGAGAATTCCACCCCAAAATCAAAATGAGTTGTCAAAGAAAGTTTTTTTTTGTTTGTTTTTTTTTTTTATATAATAAAAGTTTGATGAACATTTGTCTCACAAAGAATACAAGTGATGTAAAGAAAATACCATACTATTCGCTGCTTCCACTCCTCTGCACTAGATCTACAGTATGAATACGAATACTGAATCCTGATTTCAATAATTGTTTTTACAAATACAAATAGCAAATTTCTTGTTTTTAATATATCTTTTGTATATTTTATATATTACATCATTTGAGAGGTCATCTGAACTGTAGTGAGAGTTAAAGACATTATGGCAGTTTTATAATAAAACAAATTTCCTGTGGTTTCACTTGTCAATCTCGTCCAACTTAACGAACCAAGACTTATTACCATACCTCCGGTTTAAACATAATATCAGTCAATTGATAAATAATGTAGCTTTATTCCATTCATGCAACCAAAACTGCTTCTGCTCAGTCACCCTTGGGATCAAATATCTCAAGCAATGTTTAACAACCAGGTGTCCTGCTCTAAACTACATCTCCAAAAGACTGAATAATTCTTCATGGGTTACCGGAATGAGACAAGGTTAGCTAATCCCACACTGCTTGGTTCGCCGAACTACAGCTGCAGTGAGCTTTAGCAGTTCATGTGGGGCCACAGAGAAATGTTGTGCTCAAAGCGTGTATCCATTCAAAGACCAAGGCTGGTGCTTAGCTATGAGCAAGTGACTACTGAAACATTATTTTAGGTGAAATGAAAAACATAATCAAAAACAGTCTTTTGATTGGATCCAAGGCCTTTGCTGAACTCTTCCTCCGAACTCATCACTCCCCCTCTCTACCTTTGCTCCTTGGTGCCAGCTCCATCATTTCCCTCACTATGTCTTTGAACACCTACTCTCCCTTTTATTCCTTATCTTTCTCCCTCTCTCTCATGTCTTTCCTCCTG